GTTGTCTATTGGAAACCAATGGTTTGAATAGTTCTTTATTGGAAACCAATTGTTTTTTCTATAAAAGAATTTCCTGTTGGAAACCAATGGTTTTAATCAGTTCCCCATTGGAAACCAATGGTTTCTATTAGTTTTTTATTTGGAACCAATGGTTTGTATTAGTTTGCGATTGGAAACCAATGGTTTTTTATTGAAAAAATATATTGGGGACTAATGGTTTTAATTAATTCCCCATTGGGTAACAATTGTTTTTTCATTAGTTTCCTATTGTAAAGCAATGGTTATTATTAGTTTTCTATTGGAAACCCATGGTTTTCATTAGTTTCGTATTGGGAAACCAATGGTTTTAATTAGGGATGCCAGTGGCTCTAATTCGTTTTCTATTGGGAACAATGGTTTTGTTTAGTTTCCTTCCCATCGGGAACCAATGGTTTTCAATGGTTTTCTGTTGGGAAACCAATGGCTTGAATTAGGGAAACCAGCAGTTTTAATTAGTTTCCCATTGGAAACCAATGGCTTTAAATAGTTTCCTACTGGAAACCGTTGGTTGGGCTTCATCTACAATTGGAAACCAATGGTTTCTTAATTGTCTGTGTCGGAGTGACCTTGGAAGCGTCTTGGGCCGTCTTGGATGCGGAAGACGTATATGTCCCCTAAAGGAATCTCGCTGAGTTGGTTTTTTGGGTGTCACTTTGGTGGCCTCGTGGGAGCCCCTTTCCATGGGCATTTCTGTCCCGCGCCGCCGTGGCTACCGCAGTTGTTGCTGTGATCTCCTCTCTTGCGGAGCTACCTCAACTCCACGCGCGTACTCAGTCTCCAAAATTCCTTAGGGCTCCTCGAGACTTCCTTAAGCATCTCCGGGATAAGTCCTTAGGGTTCACCGAGGAAACCGTAGGATTCACCAAGACTTCCTTAGGATTCCTCGAGCATTCCTCGGGATTCCTTTAGAATTCCTTTGGATTCCAGGAGACTTCCTTAGGCTTCTTGGAGAATTCATAAGGAATCCTTGCGAATTCCTCCGGATTCCTTGAGAATTCCTGATGGAATCTCAAGGATTCCTTCGGATTCGTCGGCAGATTTCTGGGGCCCCCCTAAGAATTCCGGGCAAATTCCTTTGGATTCTTCAGAGATTCCTTAGGATTCCTCAGAGATTCCTTCGGATTCCTCTGAGATTCCTTAGGATTCCTGCTGAATTCCTCGGGATTCCTGAAGAATTCCTAGGGATCCCTTGGCGGAAGAATTCGTGGTGGATTCCTGGAGACTTCTTTAAGATTCCTGAGAATTCCATAGGTTTCCTTAAGGTTTCCTTTGGATTCCGCAAGGATTCCTAAGGATTTCTTTAAGATTCCTTCAGGATTCCCTAGGATTCCTTTGGATTCCTGAAGGCTTCCAGGAAAAATCCTTTGGTTTCCTGCACGCTTCCTTTGGATTCTTGAAGAATTCCTTAGGACCCCAAGAAATGTCCTTAGGATTCCTAGAGAATCCGTCAGGACCCCTCAGGTATCCCTTAGAATTCCGGCTGAATTCCTCGGGATCCCGCAGGACTTCCTCCGGATACTTGGAGAATTCCTTGGGATTCCGGGGAAATTCCTTAGGTTTCCTGGGAAATTCCTGAGGACTCCTCGAGAATTCTTTAGGATTCCTGGCAGCGTGCCGGCCATAAGTCAAGTGTGAAGGACGCGTAGTTTATATCGGGTTTTCGTACACCTGTATAGAAACCCAACCAAACTACCAGCCATAAACAGGCCGACCATAGACGACGGGTGACCCCACTACTCCTACTACTACCACTACTACTACTACCACTACTACTACTACTACTACTACTACTACTACTACTACTACTACTATTACTACTACAACGAATGCTACTACTACTACTACTGCTACTACTACTACTACTACTACTACTACTACTACTACTACTACTACTACTACTACGACTACGACTACTACTACTATTACTACTACTACTACCACCACCACCACCACCACCACCACCACCACCACTACTACTACTACTACTACTACTACTACTTCTTCTTCTTCTACTACAACTACTGCTACTACTACTACTACTTCTTCTACTACTACTACTACTACTACTACCGACCGACCGACCGACCGACCGACCGACCGACCGACCGACCGACCGACCGACCGACCGACCGACCGACCTACCTACCTACCTACCTACCTACTTACGTACCTACCTACCTACCTACCTACCTAATACTACTACTGCTACCACCACTATTACTTCTACTTCTACGATTCAGACTGCTACTACAACGATTGCTACTGCTACTGCTACTTCAACCGCTACTTCTCCTTCCCAATCATTGCCTGCTGATCTTACTCATAACAGCCCCTCCTAATTTCTCCTCCGCCTACTCCTTGGCATTCGTCTTTCCACTTCCCCTTCCCCCTCCCTCCTCCCATCCTCTCCCCAAAAGAAGCCAGGCAGTCCTGGCCTCGCGCGGTTCTGTTGCGCCGCCAGGCGGCGCCGCCCCCGCCGATTTCGAGGAGCTCCTCGGGTCCATGGGCGACATTTTGGGCGACAGCGCAGCTGGCCTCATACTTCCTCCTCCTCCTCCTTTTCTTCCACCCCCTCACCCCCGTACCCCCCTCATCATCCTGGGGGCTTTCAATATTAGCAGTGCCGTTCCTCCTCTCCTTCCTCCGTTTCTCCTTCAGCGTCGGCTCCCACTTGCTCATCGCCGCCCCCTCCCAGCGCTGCCTGCCTATTGTTCTTTTCGGCTTCCCCTCGGCATCCTCCTCATCCTCGTGCTCCATCTGCACCCGCCCCTGCGTTCGGTCGTCCTCTTCCGCCTTCCACCGGGCCCCCCCATGATCCGTTCATTTTCCCCATGCTGATAAGATTCGTCCTCATCCGCCTTCTCTCCCCCTCCTTTCGATTCTCACCCATATGGCACGCTCATGGCGTTCGCTCCTTGCTTTCCGCCTGGCCCCCATCATCCTCACATGCCCCCTTTTACGCTCCAGCCCCTTCTCCGCCACCTCCTCCCTTTCCTCGCCCACCCCCCGTTTCCTTTTTTCTCTCGTTGTCCCGTCCCCCCGTGGGCCTCGCTTCCATGGCAGAGCCAGACGTCCCGCTCCCCCTCCTCCTCCTCCTCCTCCTCCTCCTCCTCCTCCTCCTCCTCCTCCTCCTCCTCCTCCTCCTCCTCCTCCTCCTGCCCCTCCTCTTCCTCCTCCTCCTCCTCCTCTTTCTCCTCTTCCTTTCCCCCCCATCCCCCCCGTTGCTCACCCCCTCACCCCGTCGAACCCGGAGTCCGCTCGAACCGGGCCCCCCGGGAAACCTCCTCGGGCCCATCATGGGCAGTGCTTCGTGCCGCGGCACGCCGTGACAGGCCGCGACAGGCAGAGACGCGCCAACATCTCCGAAGCGACGCCTCGTCACCCTCGTCCTCGCCCTCGTGCTCGTCATCGTCGTCGTTGCCGCCGTCTCCTGCAGGGCTGCTCGCGCTTCTCTTCTCGATTGACAGTTTCCCAAGCGCTCAGACTCGATCGGAGAGGCTTCGGAGACGAAGCTTGCGAGCCGAAGAAAGGGAAACCGAGCAACCACCCGAACGGTTAGGCGTTGATCCCGTCGTCTTCCTCCTCAACTTCGCCCTTCTCCTCCGCCTTATCCTCCTCCGTCGCCTCCTCGGAGGTCCGCGCGAATTTCTCGGATCGGCGCTGGGCTCCCTTGGCGGCGCCTCTAGCGCCGCACTTGGCGCGTTCCGCGCGCCAGGGAGGGAGGTCCAGCGCCGACCTACAAGACATGTCACCAAACAGTGCTTGAATTTAGGGTTTCGTATTTCTCTTCTGAGGAACTGGGCCTGGGTGGCGGTTTGGCGGCTAAGTTGCCGCCGTCGCTGCCCCGTCGCCGCCTCGTCGCCGCCCGTCGTCTGGGCCTGGGTGGCGGTTTGGTGGCAATGTTGCTGCCGTCGTTGCCCCGCCGCCTCGTCGCCGCCCGTCGTCTGGGCCTGGGTGGCGGTCTGGCGGCTATGTTGCCGCCGCCGCCGCCCCGTCGCCGCCTCGTCGCCGCCAGTCGCCTGGGCCTGGGTGGCGGTCTGGCGGCTATGTTGCCGCCGTCACTACCCCGTCGCCGCCCACATAGATTCTCCGTTCTCAAAAGGAGATAGGTCCTACCATTCTCCCCCCCGGGCTTATCGATTCCCCAGGAACTTCCTGACCCAATGTCCATCCCACCTGTGAATTCATACTATCCCAGCCAGGCCAGTATCGGCCCCCCTTGGTTCCCATGCCAAACAATATTATGCGCGCACTCGTTTATCAAAAAGCATGAGTGTTCAAGAATCCTTAGCGAAAACGGGGCGACGTGCGCACGCGCGCGTCGCCGCGCGCATGCCGAAATTCTTCAAAGAATTCCTGTTTCAGAAGGATTTCAAAATCGAGTGTCCAAAAAACAGTTTAAAAAATCGTTTCGCAACGCGGATTGTCAACATAACCGTGCGCGCGTCCTTGCGAATTGTCAAGAAAACAACAATGTGTTCAACATGTTCATAACATGCTACCAAACGGGCTTCGCGCGCGCATGTCGAAATCTTTCGAACGCCCTTGCGCGCGTGCTGGGTTGGCACGACCCGTGCCAAATAATACCATGCGGGCCACTCTCGTGCGTCTGCCGCGCGCGCATTTCGAATTCCTTCCAAAACCTTCATCACCGACGCGAAGACGCCGTCATCGTGGTCGGCGTGATCAACATAGGCGCCGTCACTGGCTGCCCTGTCGTCGATGTCAGCATCGCCACCAGCATCGCTACTAGCATCATCGTGTCCACCGTTGTCGACATTGCCAAGACACCGCGCCCGCCCACGTCGCCGACTCGCACTGAAGTGCCCGCTGGGATATGCCGAGCGGTCAGCGCCACCGCGTTCGCGTCGGTCGTGCTAAGCTAGCTGGCCGCTGCGCGCGCGAGCATGCGCGGGCTAGCGCGGCCACAAAGATGCACCAGCCATCACCTAGCGGTCATCGCAATCGCTCCCGCATGGGTTTTGCAAACCAAGTTGCGGGTGGGTGGTATGGGTGATTGCGCGAGCAGTGGAGTTGACAAGTTCAAGTCCGGCAAGCGAACTGCACCACATAGGTTGCACCAGGCATACATGTTATTTTTTTTCATACACATGTAGACATATATATATATATATATATATATATACATATATATGTATGTATGTGTATACATATGCATACACACGCAAGCCTAACAATAGAGCACCAGGTATATTGCACCACGTAGATGGCACCACATTGAATGCACCACATGTATTGCACTACATAGATTGGCTGCACCACATGCACCGCACCATATAGATCGCACGACATATATTGCACCACGTAGGTTGCACTACATAGGTTACACCTCCCGGATCGCATCACACGGATAACGCCACACCTATTTCTAGAAGCGCGTTGTGTTGGGCCCACGCTGGCTAACATATGTTCGTTGTTTGTCCCCGAACTACACCGCCTGCATCGTGCCGAAGGTCAGCGGTGGACAGGCACACGTCGGGGCCGACACACGCCCCGAGGATCGTCGACTGCGACAGCGCCAGTGCGCAGGTGGGAAGGAGGAGGAGGGAGGGAGAAAGCGGGGGAAAGAGGGAACGGAGGGAGAGGGCCGTTGGCGGACGACGTGTCCACGTCTGCGGCCTCGCGACCTAGACCGTTCGGAGGCGCCCCCCTTGGTCACGGGACGGCGCCGTGCGGACGCCCCGCGGAGGTCGCGCCCTGGGTGTCTGGACCGCGAGGGCGCGGATGTGGACCTGATCTTCGCTCGGGGCAGGAGAGGAACAGCGCGTCGTCGCTTCCCGCGTCCCCCCCTCCGCCCCACCAGGCGAGACTGCGACCGACGCCAGCTCACGGGGTCGAATAGGTGACGTCACCACGACCATCGCCTGCGAGCACACCCCGTCGCAGAGGCGTGCTGGCCCCCTGCTGTGGACGCCGTCGTCGTGGTCGTCATCTTGGTCGTCTAGTGCGAAGATGACCGTCGTCGTGGATGAAGACGAGGGTGGGCTCCAATGCGACGCCAGCGTGGCTTCAACTGTAAGGAACGCGAGCTCAAAGTGGACGGCGGGAATGATCGACAGTGCTAGGCATCTTTGGTCTGCGCCGATTGATTGCTGAACGATCGGGGGGCCCGCCTCGCGTGCGTGCTACCTTGCAGGCAAGGAGGTCGTGCTTAGCGTTTGGGCGCCTGCCGCGGTGCCTCTTTCAGTGCTTGCGCTCCCGCGCGAAGCGAGTGCATGACAGTCTCGTGCGGGGCCGACGCGGCGGCCACCCCAGCGCGGAGGGTCAAGTTTTGGACGTTGCCGGTGGCCCAGAATCAGCCGACCTCGAAGGATCGGTGCTTTCGGACAGCCGCGAGCGCTCAAGGTGGAGCGACCCGCGTGGTGCCACAGAGCCAACGCCTGCGCGCCACGGCACGAGCATGTCATACGAAGTCTGCCGCGCATGCGTCTTGATGGCAGGCTGTCGCTGCCGTGCGGTGGACGCCGATCGGCGCAGTGCCAGCCCCGCTCGCATGGCAGCTTGTGGAGTTGGCTTGCTGTGTTGTCTCACTCTGTGATGTGCGCGATCGGATGTGCTCGCCCGTGATGTGCGCGATCGGGGTAGCTCTCTTGAGGGGCAGCGCGTTCCTCCTCCGGCCCTGCCTGCTTGGAATGCCTGCTTGGAGAAATACGGTAGAGGGAAACAATTACTGAACACTCCCTCTCCCCCCCAAACTCAATGTTGCCACGCGCGGGGGAGACTGCGGTCGAACTGCATCTCACCAGACCCACCGCCAACCTTGAACAGAGGGGGAGGCGTTGACGGATGAGTGTGGCATGTGCTCGCTGATTTCTTCCGAGGCTTGTATGGTTGCCGCTGCCCGCTTCTCTCTCCCTCTCTCTTTTCCTCCTGGGCTCCTGGCAAGCTTGTGGAGTTGGCTTGCTGTGTTGTCTCACTCTGTGATGTGCGCGATCGGATGTGCTTGCCCGTGATGTGCGCGATCGGGGTAGCTCTCTTGAGGGCCAGCGCGTTCCTCCTCCGGCCCTGCCTGCTTGGAGTGCCTGCTTGGAGAAATGTGGTTGCCGCTGCCCGCCTTCTCTCTCCCTCTCTCCTCCTCCTGGTCCTGGTCCTCCTCCTCCTCCTCCTCCTCCTCCTCCTCCTCCTCCTCCTCCTCCTACCCCCTCTCGCCTTCTCTCCCTCTCTCTTCCTCCTGGGCTCCCTGGCGCCCCGCCCGGCGCCCTTGCCCGGCGCGGGCAGCCGGCCAACCCGGGACAGGACGTCCGTGCCGGGCGCCCGCCGAGTTTCGGGAAGGGGAAGAAAATCGGGGGTGGACAGAACCCCCAACAGTGACACGTCGATTCCGTAGCCATTTTGGCTCAAGCCATTCGGCTAGCTGGCGGCGGCGCGATTGCTCTCTTCCTGCAATTGTTCTTCTCGGCCTCATGGAGCTCACTGGTGTGTTCGACTCCATTGCCGCTTCCTCGCTGTGCTCCAGCGACCGCCGCTTTGCCATTCGAGCGGCCGCCTGCCAATTCAGTGCCAATTCCGATCGCCATACAGATGAGGACCCTGTAGTTATTCAAGAACCCCCAACAGTGACACGTCGATTAGTGAATTGTCCACCTTCGGTTCTCGAGAGGGCGCCGTGGCCGTTTTTTTCAAGGCTTGCGCCCGCCAGGTTTGGGCCTCAGGTCGTTTTCACTGAACCACGTTTTACTAAAGGGGGGTTTGTCCATCCCCGACAAAAACACAGACACAGTTCATCGTCGACCCCAAGGAAACGATGGGAAACTATGGGAAGGGGGGGAGACGCCAAAACGACGCGAAGATCGGGACAACATCGGATCGGGATGACCCGAAATCTCTGAGAATCGGCGGGTTTGGAGGATGTATTGGGCACCGCGGCCGTTCCAGAGCTTTCCGGAACGCTCTGAGAGCGCTCGGGAACGCTCTGGGGCGATTTATCCCGATCCTAGCCTTGTTTTAGGAACAAAAACACAGACACAGTTCATCGTCGACACCAAGGAAACGATGGGGAACTATGGGAATGGGGGGGGGAGACGCAAGCCCAGAAAATGTAGGAACATGTGGGGGATCCTGGGATTTGCTGCGTGTGTTTATCTGTGTGTCCCTGGCCCCCATTCACAGTTGGAGTGTGCTGCCCCGCCTGAAGCGCCAGTGCCCTGCCTCCGCTTCGGGCTCGGCTCGGCGAGGAGGCACGCGCCGCCGCGCTGAGCCCGGGAGCCCCCGCTTCCGAGGGGCCTGGCTGGCCACAACAGACACTGGATGGGGCGAGCCTGGGCGCGAGCGTTAGGTCGGGCATGTCCTCCCACAGGCCGATGTGGGAAGAAACGCTCCAAATCGCCCGAAGCCAAGCAACGCGAAAAGTCAAAAAGAGCATGCGGAACATCGTCCCTAGAAATTCCCCGACTGCTCTTGAGCACTCCTCCTGTACAGCGAGCGCGGCGCTCCGAGCACAGAGCCACGGCGACCAGCCCCAGGCGCGGCACGGCCGCGGCCCCTGTGCGGCCGTCGCCGGCGCGCCCGCGCCACGCCCCGGCGCTGCGGAGGGCCCCGCTCTCTCGGCGCCCGGCCCAGCTGCTGCGCTGCCCGAGCGACCAGTGCGTGGGGCGAGCCTGGGCGCGAGGGCAGCGCTCGCGGAGCGCGCGGCCGCCGCGCCCGGCCCCCCCGCGCGCGGCACGGCCGTGGCACGGCGCGCGGCCGTCGTCGGCGCGCCCGCGCCACGCCCGGCCTCTGCGGCGTGCCCCGCCCTCGCGCCGCTCCGTCGGGCCGCGGGCGCGGCGGGGTGTGCTCGGCGGCCCCGGGGCCGGCCCAGCCGCGCGGCCCGAAGGCGGCGCCCGCAGCTCTCTGGCGGCCTCTCGGGGGCCCCGTGGGCTCTCCTGGGGCCGCCCGCGGGGTCGCGTTGGCCACTCGGGGAGGGCTCACAGGGGCCCTCTTGGGTTGCCTGGTTGCTGGTCTTGGGCTGTCCCTGCCATCCTGCTTGGGGGGGGCCTCCTCGGTTGCTGCAGCGTCCTCTGGAGCGCCCCGGGGGCTGCCCAGAGGCCAGCTGGAAACCATCTCGAGCCCTCGATGAAGACGGTGCAGAAATCATCAAGATCTCAAGCCACAAATATAGTTGTATCCCCGCGGCGTCGTGGGAAGGCTCCTCTCAGATCCTTTCAGCCTTCGGCAGGTTTGTTTGAGACATCGAAATCGTATTGGGTTGTCTTTTGTGCGTTTAGCGGGGCCTTTGGGCAGTCTCTGGGTCTCGGATGGTGGTCTCGGAGAAACGAATGAAACCATCGGAAGCAGACCGTAGGCCGTCGTGACTCCCTCTTGGGCCAGTCTTGGTCGAGGCATTTGTGCGCCTCGGGGCACCGTGAAGTGATCTGGCTGCGACTCCTCCGAGGCCCAAACACAAACACGCCCAGACCTGGTGCTGGAAAGCATATGTTATTGGGGTTGAAGTCGCGGGCAATGGGCAGCTCGCGGATGCATTGTCGGAAGCATTTGAAAACATGAACAACCGATAGTACCAGACAAAGACTTGAGGCGCACCTACCGCATGCCAGGCGCGGTGGCGGATATACATTGCGCCGTGGCGCACAGCTCGACTCAGGGTCTACTGCCGGTGCTCGTGCTTCGCGTAGATCGTGCGAGCGCCATGCACGATTGAAGTCGCACACCTTCTCGATCTGCATTGCACGGCAAGCACGGCTAGAGGATTGTCGAGTCAAATTCCACGGGCGACAACGTTTTCTGGCCTTCTACGGTCTGCGTGGGTGGCCAGTGCAGCACGACGGAGTCAACGACTGCCCCTGATCAACTCGGGGAGGTGGCGAGCTTGCAGGTGTAGCCAGACCGGGGGGTACAGCATGTTCGGCAGCGATTTCGTCCGCATGGATGACGTGTTGGGCAACCCCTTTCCCCGTCGCTGGCGGCTTCTTCGGCAGCCCGTTCAGCGGTCTCTTCGGCAAACGCTTGTCCCGCTTGAACGACACTCCTCGAATGTATTCCAGCTAGATATTTCGTAATACAGCGATGCCCCTGCTGATGGACAAACTAGCGACCGATGGAGCCAGGATGGGCTTGATCGATACGAAATGGACCTCTTCCAGCATGGAACAGGCCCTCGGAGAGGACGGCCAGGTTCAGTACAGGATGATGACGTGCAGCAGAAGTGATTGCAAAGCCATCACAGCCGAAGGTCAGCCCGACGAGCAGGCAGCGAACCAGCTCCGGCTGGGGCCATCAGATGTGCCATCGGTGTGCCAGGTGTGCCAATTTCACATGCCAAACCCATACAGTCGGGGCCCCGAGGAAGGAACCCTTTTCGTTGGGGAGGGGCTCCGCGTTCCTTAATTGTTTCGCAGCTTGCCTCGGGTTTCCCATAGGTCTTCGATAGGAAATCGAGGTTCAACTTATGGAAAAAGGGGGCCTCGTTCCTTATTTAGGATTCCTCAGGTCAACGCCCCGACTATAACACAACGTCCGTGCAGAGTCGGCAAGGACATGGAAGATATTTCAAAAAGTGTGTCTTATTCAGCAAGCGGTCGTACCAGGCTCAGGAGGGGAAAAAACACACAGACACAATTAATCGTCGACCCCCAGGAAGATATGGGAAAATATGGGAACTGGGGGGGAAGACAGAAACCCAGAAAAGACGGGAAAATACGGGGAATCTTTTTTTATTTGTGTGTATTTATTTGTGCGTCCTGGAGCCCCTTTACAGGCGGTAGAACATCCCACACCAGGTTGCGGCCGAGTGCCGCGCAGCGTGCTGACGCAAACATATGTTCTGACGCAGGGGTCCGGGGCAAGCACACGGTTCGAAGGGTGAGTGGACATTGCACCAGAACAGCGCGGTGATCGGCGTCCACACAGGCATATACAGTCGGGGCCCTGAAGAAGGAACCCTATTTGTTGGGGAGGGGCTCGGTGTTCCTTAAGTGTTTCACAGCTTGCCTCAGGTTTTCCTTAGGTATTCGATACGAAATCGAAGTTTAACTTATGGGAAAGAGGGCTTATTTAGGGTTCCTTAGGTCAAGGCCCCGACTGTAGTCTACGTGGGTGGCGTAGCAAGTTGAGTTGCCCATCAACCACTAGCCCCGCCGCGGCAGATAATAGAGAGAGGGGGCGGGCGCAGTTCAGTCTGCATGCTTGTATGTATGCGTGTGTCTCCGTATGCGTGCGAGTGCTCGTGTTAATGTGTGTGTGTCTAGGTGTGTGACTGTGCGCGTGTGTGTAATGTTGCGTTGCACTTGAGAGCGATGGAGGGAAAGAGAGAGAGAGAGAGACCGCGAGAGAAAGAGAGCGAGAGCCTTCTTCCAGATGTTGTTCCCAGCCCTCCTGTGTGCTGCGTCCTCTTTTCGGATATGCAGCGCCGCGCGACTCCTATCCTCTCCTCTCCTCATCCCCCTACTCCGCTTGATCCTCCTCATCATTATCATCAGCAGCATCATCATCAGCAACAACAGCAACATAATCATCATCCACGTCCGTCTTCGCACTTCGGCAAGCACCTCACGCTTCGTGGCCCCATAGGGAGCTCCACCGAAGGCCCCGTTGGATGTGTTCGCATGCGGACCCAGCCCAATGCGGACCACCCCTCACACGCTTTGCGCCACCGTAGCTCCACCGAAGACCCCATTGGCTGCGTTCGCATGCGACCCAGTCCCATTTCGGCAGACCTCTCACACGTTCCGTGGCCCCATTTTATAGGGAGCTCCACCGAAGGCCCCAATGACTAAGTTCGCATGCGGCCCCGCTTCATGTCGGCAGACCCCTCAAACGCTTCGAGGCCCCATAGGGAGCTCCACGGCGCGTTCGTCGCCGTCACCCCTCGTGCAGACAGAGTCTCGAGAGCGCGCGCGAGTGCATGAAGAACGTTGTGTGTGTGTGTGGTTTCACGTCGTTTGGCGAAGCGTTCAGGGGCACCGCAGACCTCTCGCAGTATTCGTATGCGGTCCTGGTCGTAGTCGCCTCGTTCTGGTAATGGGTTGGTGTCTTCGCCAGGCTACGTTTTGACAGAGGGGTGTCATGTGGACGCGCGTCAAGTCATTAGCGTATGTACTCTTGGGGGCACCACAGGTGCACTGGACCAGTCGAAGTCATACGCTGGAAGTTCGCCACAGGGCCCAGCGGAGTTCAGCACGGCGTGGCGTCTACGATATGTGGTTTGCCCCCATCCATGGTATAGGGAGGGAGGGAGGAGGAGGGGGAGGAGGAGGGGGAGGAGGAGGAGGAGGAGGGAGGAGAATGAGGAGGGGGGAGGAGGAGCAGGAGGAGGAGGAGGAGGGGGGAGGAGGAGGAGGAGGAGGAGGAGGGAGGAGGAGGAGGAGGAGGAGGAGGAGGAGGAGGGGGGAGGAGGAGGAGGAGGAGGAGGATGCGTTCCCCCGTGCGTCCACGGCCGCGCTCTCCCTGCAGCGCGTCACCCCTCTTGTCTGCAGAGCGGGGCCCTCTGCCGCCGCCGCCCCCCC